TATTGCACTGCTGTGAGAATGCACCAATTACATCCTCATCCTCTTCGGAGTCTGTCTCGCCAAGACAGCTAGCTTACGGGGTACCTAGCTTCGACTTGGTTCCGCCACTTGCTAGTTGACAATATGCATTCACCATCCGTTTCTGAGGACACTCCACCACGCGATGTGGTCCTTCACATAAAAAGCATTTCAGTTTAGGAGCGGCATCAGATTTGCCCTCCTTTGCTTTTCCTTGGTTCCAGTTGTTACTGTTGCTACCATTGTAGCTTCCTTTGGAATTACTCTGACGGTTATCTTGATAGACTCCTCCCCTATTTTGAGAGTAACGCTCTCCCCCATTTGAGTTCGAGCTGGGTCTGTAAGGTCTCTTTCCACTTTTGACAGACTGACTATTTCCCGAAGGTCGATCCTCTCTCGATTTCGGTTGATAGTCACTTAAACATTCGGAAGCTCCCATAGCCGGCTCAAATCAGTGACCTTCTGTCTTTGAAGTTCCTTGCGTGTCCACGGTTCCAACCCTTCCAGGAAGGTGAACAATTTGTCCTTCTCCGACATATCTCGTGTCTCGCCATGACAGCTAGCTTGTGGTGTACCTTACGTTGATTTGGTCCCGCCACTTGCTAGTTGGCAATATGCATTCACCATCCGTTTCTCAGAACACTCCGCCACTCGATGAGGTCCTTCACATAAAAAGCACTTCAATTTAGGACGGGAATCAGATCTGCCCTCCTTTGCTTTTCCTTGGTTCAGTTATTACTCTGATGGTTGCCTTGATAGGCTCCTCCCCGATTCTGAGAGTAATGCTATCCCCACTTGAGTTCGAGCTGAGTCTATGAGGTCTATTTCCCGAAGGTCGATCCTCTCTCGATTTCGGTTGATAATCACTCAAACATTTGTCAGCTCTCATAGCTGCGCTTAAATCAGTGACCTGTCTCTGAAGTTCTGTGCGTGTCCACTGCTCCAACCCTTCCATGAAAGTGAACAGCTTATCATTTTTCGACATATCTCGAATATTCAGCATATGTCCTGAAAAGGCTTTCACATACTTCCTGATGGAGCTTGTGTGTTTCAGTCCTCGTAAGGCCTGACGTGCCTTATATTCCACATTCTCTGGAAAAAATTGAGATTTGATTGCTTCCTTGAGAAGATCCCAAGATCTATTCGGACCCTGTTGGCCTGAATATCAGCATACTTCGTCCGCCACCATAGTTTTGCATTTCTCGCTTCATCTTGAATCGAAGCCACAAGAAAGTATTGTTCCATATCGAACAAGAAGTTCTCAACTTCTTTAGCATCGCGTGCCCCTACGTAGGTACATGGTTCTGGAATTCTGAGCCTATGCACAGACTCTTGTGCAGTGGCTTGCCCATTGCCAACTGCGCTTTGAAGCACTAGTAATTGAGCTCTCAACGCTCCCATCTCATCCTGCACATCAGGTATGATAGCAACAGTTTTAGTCGTTGCTGTGCAAGCCATTCGGCTTTCATCCAATTGGGTGATGTTCAAATCACGAATCTCAGCCTCGTTGCCTCGACTCATTCGTCGATACTATCCGTGTCATAGCACAACCTAGCAGTTGTCATCTCAAGCTCATCCACGCGCTGTTTCGTGTTCTTCTTTTGAGGATCTACCACCTCCGTGGTGTTTGATTTCATTGGATCCATAGCTTTCTTATCGAGGGTCTTGAGCCGCAGCTCTGATACCAACTTTCACGGGTTGCCTTTCTTCTTAGCACAGAAAGGGATACCGTGCGGCAGTAGTCTGCTCCGCTAGACTACCTTCCGCCTTTTCTCGGTCGTTCCGGGACGAAAGTAAGTTTGATCACAATTTAAAGAAAGCTTACAACACGAAATTGAAATGCATTGAATTAAACTTGATCATTCTCCTCTAGACTACCTTCCGCCTTTTCTCGGTCTTTCAGGGATGAAAGTAAATTTGATCACAATTTAAAAAAAGCTTACAACATAAAATTGAAATGCATTGAAATAAACTTGATCATTGATTGCTTGAAAGCTGAACATTACAAAACACGAAAGTAGGAAATTACAATGGCTAGTGCAGGGGGCGAACACTAGATAGTTTGAAAGATGTTTGAAAGACTAATACCCTATAATAGACTTAGCAACAAAAATCCATCGACGAGGGTAGACGTTTTAAGTCTCTAGAATCATACTAAAATTTTCTAATTTCCAACTATTTTACAATTAAAGGAAATATTTACAATGTGCGGCCGAAGTTTGGCAAACTACGGCTGCGATAGGGTCCCGGGGTTTAAGTAAAACTGCAATCTGTGACACTTTGGGTGGGGGGAATTCCTTGGCTCTTATGGTTTACCAATTATGCCTCAATCAGATGACCTTCTTGACTGCTGTAACGGCTTGCATTTATTGTTTGAATCCATTTGACCAAACAGTATGTGTTGATTCCTCGACCCTGTTGGAGTCATCAAGAATATCTTAATGCTGCACTTGCGTTTGATCCATCTTAATCAACTTGTTACAGATTTGTCCGGTTTGAAAGGATTATAAAGGAGAGGAGCCTAGTTTTACACATACTCTTCAGGCAACGCCGCAACAGGAGTTGGTCTAGACACTCAGTACAGCAGGACCCATGTGAAAGTAGACGCCTATGGTTCCGGCCTCCTACATAGTTCAATGGAGCATTGTTTCGGTTATCTTTGTCTTGGCACCTTATACAGATTGATCTTGAGGAATTCAGTGTGTGCGCAATGGAGCTCCCTGACATTTGGCCAGTCCAAAGGTCTGATAGGTTGCCTTGGAGTACTGAAGGAACGACTATGATATGCTAACGAAGATGGCAACATGATGTACATTTGGTCATTTGAGAAGTTTGCGAGAACTTCGGTAGTTGATAGGGTGCCTTGGAGTACTGAAGGAACGACTATGATATGCTAACGAAGATGGCAACATGATGTACATTAGGTCTTTCGAGAAGTTTTCGAGAACTTCGGTAGATGGGTTTTGAGGCATAACATCAATATTTATGATTTGACTCGTGGTCTGGTGCTGTGTAGAGAAATTGGCCCTCCTGATTCTAAATGGGTTGGACCTATTGCTTTCCAACCGAGCTCTAACATTGTCTTCCTGTGCACTCCTCTTGTGAGCCTGAGTGTTTGAGCCCATTAAAAGGTTAATAATGCATTTTGGAATAGTTGATTGATGGAAAATATATGGTTAAAAAATAAGGAAAATTTTTGAGTTTACGTGTAATATTATTTTATTGAAGAATGAGTGGTTCAAAATAAGAGAAAAATGTATTTTGAAAAAAATGAGAATCAAACAATGGCATAATTTGGATAATAACGTGCTAGAAGAGCTGATCAGAATAAAGAAAGATCTCATTCTTCCCGGATGTTGCTATCGTGCATTTACTTATGTTCGATATCTTGCCCCATTCAATAAAGAAGGCAACACTTGTGCCATGCCCATGTAATTTGCATTGCATTCTATGAAATTTTAATTAATTTTTTTGTTTTCTTTTTTTTGTTCTTTACATTATGGCATGTATTTTCCAACATCTTGTTGTTAGACCTGTTTTGCATTTTCAAATATATTTTTGAGCAACACAACACTTATTTTACAGATCAAATTTTAATGCAGAAGTAAAGCAGGTGAAAAATACTTATTTTACTGATGGTACATATTTTGAAAATACAGTTATGCAATAGTTTACATAAATTGTGGGTGATGCTTGTATGAACTCTTGAATTCGATAGAATTTTTGTTACTTGTAACGTGTAGTTTTCTTAAGATTTAGCCGCAGTGATAGTTTTGCTTGATAGAATTGGAACAACTATCCCTTATTAGGGACTGTACTGGTGGGACAACTATCCCTTATTAGGGACTGTACTGGTCCATGTCAACATCTTTGAATTTGGCTTTCACAATACACGGTGCACTCGCACTGGTGCCACCATCTGACCTGACTCGGTTACTACTTTTTGGAGGGTTTTGAAAGCATAGAATCACGAAGCCCTTCTTACCGTACTGGAGCCATAGAAAGGACAGTTCAGTGGACCTTAAACAATAAAAATGTGAGCTTTTTAACAAGATTGGCTATTTTATTCAATTGTCTTTTAATTTTCCATTTAGGAGTTGGAACTTGATCAATGATCCCTATGGTTAGTGTTTATTAGATTTCGCGATGACTACAAACAATCTCGTGCTTTTGCAACCCAAAAAAAAGGACAAAAAGTGATATATGCTCGAAATCTATGTAAAATAAATAAATAAGGTTATGTTTTCCACTCATTGCTATTTGAACCAATTTCTATGCGGATTAGTGTCAATTGAGACATCTATCATAGTTGGGATGTAGAAGCCTCAATTGGTTGGTTGCAGAATGAATAACAATGGATGCATAATGTTTTCAATAAAAAGAATATTACCATCTAGCCTCGATGATGCTAGAACAATAGTTAAGTAACCATATTCGAAAAGTCCAGAACTATCACCTAGACTAATAAATACAATCAGCGAGGTTTAATAGCATTTCTCCTAGTCGGCTAGTGCTCTCATTTTTAAGCCTCTTCCATTTTTGCATTTACTTAAGATGATGAATTTGGCGTGAAATTGGACTTGTTCTTCCTTTCAGAAGATTTTGGCCTAGTTGGACTATTTTCGTGGACATGCCAAGGTCTCAACTTTAAATTGGGCAGCAAACTTGCATGAAGCTATAGAGAGATCAATTTCAAGCCACAGGGAGAAAATATTGATTGTGTATGAATATGATCTGATATAAAATCGGAAATCGAAATGACTGGGAAAAGAATGTATTCTACTCCAGTAACGGGGTGAACTTTGCTTTTCTTCGTAAGTTCATCGAATGAAAAGTCTAATTTTTGAAGCTCAAACTGTTCCTAACTTGGAATGCTACTAAATAAGATCAGCATCCCTTTAGCTTAACCAAAATCCGTCCTTAGTCCAACCATACCACACCATATAATTTTCACATGCACGAGGAGCAGGGGCATTGTTTTCTCAAAAATCTTCTCGCATATCTCCCACCTTCCTCTTGGCTTGAGAAGCCAGTCGAGCATCTCTCTCCCGCTCAAACTCTCGGTAGTCTGAACGCTGCAAGAAAGAGACTTTATCTAGATACTGATTTGAACTTTTCTTGTAAGCATCCAGTTCATCTTCCAGGCCTTTGTTTTCTTCCTTGAACTCGCCCCAATCCTTCTTTGTCTTGTCAAGTACACTCAGTTTTTGTTTCTTTTTTATTTGTTCAAGAACAGCATCAACAGCAGAAACCGTACCGGCTGTTCCTTTACCTTTATCAGATGCCTCTTTTGAGGTAGCATCGACAATTTTTCTCACTTCGACTTCCTCACCAGCAAAGTCCCGAACTTCAGAAATCTGCCAAAGTATCAAATATTGAAATATTAATGCTAACTGAAAATTCCCTCGTAATCAAGCAGCTGTCCCACAAAATGTGTCATATCAGAGCTTCTGGAATTGGAAAAGTAACCAGCTGCTACAGTCATTTTATAATTTGTCCTTACGAGTTATATTATTCTGCTGAAAAATGCTTTATTCATAACCAAATCCAGTCCAAATAGATGCCATAAACTTGTATAAGACCGAAACAAAAACTAGCGCTAAGAAAATTCATTTGACACAAATTGAATTGCTACTCTAGAAGGAAAACTATTAGAGTGAAAATTAGATCTGATAAGAATTAGCTGCAGAGTAATGAAGTTCACCTCAACTTTCCCCCTGCCCAGAGCAGCTAAAGCAGCAGCATCCTTAACTGCTGAAAGAGCAGCTGCAGCAAGTTTCTTTGCCTCGTCACTGGCACCATTCTGAGTGATGCTAGGACATTTCGCCGAAACATCTTGACCAGGTGATATCTTTTTTGGTGCCAATCCCAAAGATGTCATCCAGCTCTGAAACAAAAGCATGTTAACATTCAGTATAAGCTCAACATAAAAAGTCTATTTCAATTATATTGAAATGGAGCGGGCTGCTCACAGGAGATGACATCTTTTGGGAAGTCCTTTGAGAAGTTTTATTTGCAGTCGAGCTGCGCTTTTCTAAGATGGATTTAAGAGATTTTGTGGAAACTCCTTTGTTCATCTGTTGCCAAACAGCATTCACCCGAGCTTTTCTTTCTGATATCACAAAAATGCACATAAATTCAGTGTGGTAGTGTTCAATACTTGGACATTAAAATGGATAGTAAGCTTAACAACAGATACTTCCAAACAGAAGCAAGAAGCATACTGGAGGAAAACACAAAGCAATAACTACTAAGGAACCTCCATGCTTCCTACCAGTTTCTTCACGCTCTGCCTGTGAGGTGGCAGCTTGGGGAGCTTCTTGTTGGGATTTGGCACTCAGCTCATCCATCTTTCTAAACTACCTGAAACAAAATCTAGAGCATTTAGCAGAGAGATGAAAGAACAAAAACATGCATAATCTCACTTTATCAGTGCCTTGCAGTGAAGTCTTTTTAAATAAGTAGAAATACAGCTGCAGCACTTCATGCTAAAGTTACTACTCAGAAAAAATAAACTAAGGGAAAGACAAGAACATCTTGAAACTAAAAGCGTGATAACATAGATACACTATATGTCTAGTGTCCTTTGATAAACTATTTACATCCCAAGGAAATGACAAACACTGCAAGGGACAGCAGATGGGACCTTAAAATAATAAAAGTTGATGGCAGAAGCATGATCGGGTATAAAGACATCCAATGTGGATACTACAAAATAGGATATAAACTCGAAAAATTTCCAGTTTAAAGATCCCTTCCCAAATTCAATTTATGTTCTTATCCAAATTGAGGAAATAACAAGCAAATGTTGGTCTAGTATTAGCCAGAAACCCTCCAAATATGTCAGCAGTGATGGAAGTTGAATCCTGGTTAAATACAAGTGATGTTGAAGAAGCTGATGATAACATATATCCTCTGCATTTTTTATCTTTCCTGCCACCCAGTTTGTACAGACACTAACACATGTGCATAAAACTAAACCCTTCAGTGCAAGCCTATGCCTATGAACCATTAACCTATGGCACTTTCACTTTTCATCCATGACACAAGACAAGCAAGCATATCCCAAAATGAAATTTTCAAAACCTGTTATCAAGTAACCTTTATTTGATGTATAAGCATTTCCCTCAAGTATCCTATTTATTGTCTGAATTAAGACTGGAACTCACATATTATGCCTAAATATTGATCCCTAGCAATAAGAGCGCATTCATAATGATGACTACATGTAAAAAGAAAAAGATAATCTACCAAATAACAGAGCATTGAGAGCTGCATAAAGAAAGCACCTGCAATTCATCCCACAAATTTCTGAAGTCTGGAGGACTAATACTAAATCAGGCCAGTAAATAATTTCCTAAATTTCCAACTAGCATCCCACATCATTACCGCCACGTACAATGAGCTCCTCAATGTATAGCGAGTCCCGAAATAATTTTTGTGATATATGCAACAGAAACAATTAAAAGAACATTGAGGCGAGAACCATCTTGTGTCTGTTTAAGTGGACCAAACATTATTATTCACATTATACCTGCAACCTCAGAAAGTATAGAAATAACATCCAGTATGTAGTCGTTAATCTCTATATGCAAAGTTTTAAAGAGAATGATTAGAATTGCTATAGTTGGGCATCCAAAACTCCATAAAACTGTTTAAAGAACACATAATTGCAAATGCCTTGTGAAGGAGATTTAAATATGTGCACAGTAGTTAGTGTGCATATAATAAATATATACGTGTGTACCCCGTAGAAGGAACGTTTTAGCTCTGGGTCATGTTCTTTAATTTCAAAGGGGCTATCATATACCTTTGTAGGGTTTATAATATACCTTTGTTATGATATGTAGAAGGAAAGTTCTAGTTCTGTTCTTTAGTTCAAGGTTATATTGTTATATGGGCTATTTCATTTCCATACATGGAAAGTCTAAACGTCTGTCATAATCAGGCAGAAATTACAATAGAACAGAAATGAGTCAGGTGAGCGATGATTTTTCAATTCTATACTCAGTAATCTAGTGTGTGCGCGCGTGTGTTGTTTAGGTGTCATAAACACGAGAAAGAATCCAACAACTCCTGGAAATCAATTTTTAATGTTAAAAACCGGGTGAAAGAAAGCAATAATCATACAATGATAGAGAACCAATAACTGAACTCTAAAAAAATGGCATAAACCCAACAATGAAATTTCCAGTCACAATAGAAAGGTGGAAAAAAACAAAAATGAACGAACAAGGATACCCCTCCCCCTCTCACAGGGATTTTGGTCCTGCGTATTTCACCGATAACAGTTCAGGGGCGGCCAATTCTAAATCGGAAAGGAGAAAACCAGAAACAACCACGTCAAAAATACAAGAAAGATACTGTCGAGAAAATCGATTACCATCAAGAAACAACCTTGGAAATAAATAAATTCTAATGAGCTAGAAGAGGAGAATGGCAATAAGGCTGGACGGAATCTTAGATCGAGACTGAGTTGAAATTAAATCATTTACAACAATCAAATCGAGTGAAAAATCAACAAATAAAGCGTTTTTACCCGCACAAAACCAAAAAAAAAAAACCTGATATTACCTCCTAAGTTTGATGAAGAAACGATCTTGTAGAAATCACTGCAACACGATCAAATTGGTGCCAAGAGGGTTATGATGTCGTCTTCCTTTTTCCCTCCCCTTCAAAGTGAATAGTTCCCAATTTTTTAGTGCAGTCCCAAGAAATACCCCACATATGCAGCTTGTCCTCTTCTATTGGTCTATCAGTGTAACCTAAACCAGGCATTTGCTTTATGTACTTGGGTATGGGAAATGAGGTGCACTATCCTTAAAAGTTAAAATATTAAATTGATATTCTTAAAATTGATTACAAATAAAAAATTTCGTATTAATTACGCCAATTAATTTTACTACCTTTTCAGATTGAGTAGTGTTATTTAACATCAATAGTGTTTAATACTGAAGTATGTGAAAATATTAGTAACATTAAATTATATGTTCAATTAAATGAATCTTATGATTTTGTATTAAATTAAACTTATCACATAATGTCGCATAGATTGGTGTTTAAAACATTGTTCTTTGAAATTGTCACTTTTTGAATTTTGTTACTTCTGGTAATTATCATTTTTTGAGTCTCAGTCACTTTTTATAATATATCGCTTTTTTTTTTTTTTTAACGAAGGTGGTTGTTTGTGCATTCTAAAGGGTCCATAGGGATAACAATTTCAATTATTTTGTTATTTTTATATTCATTGTCTTGTTTTTATTTGTCTCCGTGACAAATGAATGTTTTTATTTGTCTCCGTAACAAATGAAGACGTTGATTTTATTCATATCTGTAAAAAATACCAATGAAATCGTGCGAGACTTTTAAAAAAAAGTGACGAGTGTGTCACTTTTAATTTTTAGCAAACTAACTCATATGCAAAAAAATACAAATAAACTTATGTCACTTTTTAATGTAAAATAAGTTTTTAATTTATATTTTAATTTTTACAAATACACATGTATGCATCTATTGATTGATTCGAAAATTTAAATGAGATGGATTGTTACCTTTTAAAAAAAAATTGACAGAAAAAGTTACTTTTTTATTTTAACATATTAATTCATATGCAAAATACAAATAAAGTGTTATGCCACACCACTTTTTAATGTAAAACGAGTATTTAATTCATATTCATATTTAAATTTTCACAATCACACATTTAAGTATCTATTTAGTTGATACTAAATGATTCGAGTGAGATAAGCTTCGACGTTTTTAGAAAAATGTCAAAGAATGTCACTTTTCTCACTCTCGTTTTTACAATCACTTTGCACGCATCATATCAACACAATTCAATTCATTATATCATGTCAATTTTTAATATAAAATAAAGTTTGAATTCTAATTCATAATTAAATTTTTAAAAAATACACATGTATGCATATATTTAATTGCTTCAAAGGAATTCGAATGAAATATACTGCAACCTTTTTCAGATAAAAAGACAGAAAATGTCACTTTTCACATTCTCATTTTCACAAACACCTTATATACATCACTTGAATTGATTCAAATTTGATTTTTCGTATATATTAACTCAATCCAACTCATAAAAATATGAATTTTAATCCATATTAACTCAAAATTATTAGTTTAAAGATGAAATTCCAAATATTAAGTGTGTACCAAGTGTGTACAAGTAGCATTTTTGAATCAAATATTACAAGAAAGTATGTCTGTAAGCATCAAGCAAGCGATAAACTTGTGTCCATCCCATTATTATCCATGTGCACGAATACGAATATGGAATATGGTACTAGTGCACGGGTCATGGACACATAATAATGTGTGGTGTGTCTACTCTTGTATTTTAATAATTCAATTTTATTTTGATTAAATTGACACGTAACACATAAATAGGTATAATAATTTTAATTAACTACTTAAATGAAATGATTGTGACAAGAAATACAAAAATTGATTAATTCAATGTTTATGTTACCCGATGGAATCCATCAATATATTTAGAGCTCGCAATAGGCACGTGATATTTTATTTAAACCTTCGTAAAATATAGCAAAATAAAAATAAATTACCTTGTCACGTCAAAACCACGAGCAAACAAAATAATGAAGAATTGAGAATATAGGTCATGAACACAACATGATGCAACCAAAATGAAAATGAGTGAATTATGATAAAAATTTCCATGTCGATTGGAAGAAAAAATGATCAACCAACACCAGTCTTTATGAGAACGAAAAACATTATTCATTATACCGTACCAGTAGTTTCCATCACCAAGAATTATGCAACGCTCATAAGATGCAAAATAAACTCTAGCACAAATCTAGCATACATTTTGAAAGAGAAATTTGATATTTGAACTTGGAAGATGAGTTATCCTTTTCTAAGTAAAAGGAAATTCAAACATAAAAATCTGAAGATAAGGCTCATTGTTCCATTATTTTGCCTGCGGGTGAGATGCAATGAAGTCCACAGCAAGATTGATGGAATTGATTTTGTCTGCTTCATTGTCCGGAATCTCAAAACCAAACTCTTCTTCAAGAGCCATCACAATTTCGACGGTGTCTAAGCTATCTAACCCTAGATCATTTTGGAAATGTGCATTTGGGGTAACCTGAAACAAATAAAAATGCAATAGAAATTAATCCCTTTATTGACAACTTTTTAAGTAGTGAAAGCATTTTGACAAATGCAGCTAGTAAATAAATGTCAATAATAAACATACAAGGTAGACAAGGAAAAACATAAAATGCTACCAACCATTTCATATTTTTGCATCATCATGTTTCAGCAATCCACCACCACCACCACCACCAGCAGCAACAACTCTACAAGTCCAACCTCCAACCCAAACCAACCCGTGTAAAGGAAACTACAAACTCATCTAATAGGAGAACAAAGATGTATGTCTTGCAAGATCAACATATATCAAATGAAGGTATTTCTTTCGTTTGCTTTATGACATTAATGGCACATTGGATCCACTATATTTTGTATCACAAAGAATTTAAAGTTTGAGTCATCATATAAAACTCGGAAAACCTGATAAAAGGTATCAATTCATCATAGACCAGACATCCAGATATTCCATTCTGCTTATAACAGCAAAAGTATCATGATTTATATGCAGGATCATTTCCAATTAATCGATTGAATTATATTCTTGGGGAAGGTATTTTGTTAGATCTCGAAAGAGGGGTAATCCTACAATAGAAGTAAAATAATGGATCTACTACTGCCTACTCTGTCTGTTTCAGTGAATTCATTTGATTTTCACAAAGGTCATATAAAGCTAAATGGAGCGAGGCGCCAAAATCAAAATCACCGCTCAACTATGTTATTGCTACTTGCTGGCCTCCACTACCAACAACTACACATGGTGAATGTATTTAGTGGTGGTGATGTTGGACACTCATGGTAGTGCTGATGGTGATAGTAAAGGAAATGATGGTTAAGGGGGTGTTTGACGCCGATTTTTTGGAGATTAGAATTTTTGGAATAGTGATTGATGGGAGAATGTGTGGTGAAAAAGTTATGAAAAGTTTTAGATTTGTGTGTAATATTATTTTATTGGGAGGATGTGTGGTTGAAATGAAGAAAGAGAAAAGAAATGAGAATGAAAATGGGTGCCAAACAGCGGCTAAATGTGAGGATAGGAGTATAATTGTACATTTTTCCATACTTACTCTCCTGCCCTCCAGACTGCTATTTTTTCCCCATATGTTCACACCCTACACTTTCAACATCTCAAAGTTATCTAAAAGGTTATTGAACTTGTATTGATATTCTCCAATATAATAAACACATCCACATCTTCACTAGTTTTTAGAGGGAACTCAGGTCTATATACTTTTCAATTCTATTAAACATTGCAAGAAGCATGGGGACTATTAAAACATATAATTACATGGACACATATTAGTTTTCACCCTTACATATTCCTTGACCTTCCAGCACTGGGCAGGCATCAGCCCTGGAACACTATATGTAATTAGGGAAATGGCTTAGGGAAAACCAGGTTAATCTAACCAAAGGATTGATACAAGCACTTAATAAAATGGGAAAACATTTGGGATGAGAAACTTTTGCTTGTAAAAGTTACTTGCAATGGCAGGATGTACACAATATCCAGGGAATCATCTATTCCCCATATAATATGCGATTTCAACAACATAAACACAGTTATTACTTTACCTACACAATTTACAGTATTTCAAACCCTAAACAAATCCACTTGCAGCCTTTAGCAAAGACAATCTCTAAGTAGTCCATTCAGTTCGTGTGTTTTACGTGAGTGCCTATTGTAAACACCAGTACATTACCTCGGCTATAATGATAATTGCATCAATTGCAGCAAGCTGACCACTCTCAACGTTTAACCATAATAAAATATTTCCAAACCCACAAGATTCAAATATCAAAAACTGTTCGAACCAAAAAATCCTAATGTTCCCCAAAACCCTAACTCTTCGAAACCAATAAAATCACTCTATTAATTAGTAATATAAATGCAAAGTAGGAAAAAACAAAAGAATTTGAAAATGATCGTGTTACCTTAGAGGGATCGACTTTCTGGAAATTTTTCACGCAATTGAGGACACGATCCGTGACCTCAGACTTGTCAAGGAAAGAACCCTTCACTTCCGCACAGAAGTTGCGGCTACTGATGAGCCGCGACAGGGCCCCACGGAGGCCGGCTCCAGGGTTTTGAAGTGGCACGGAATGAATATTCACCCTCAGGTACTTAAGCAGTGCGTTCCTCGCCGCCATTCCTTCGTTAAAACAGAAGAGCTCGAAAGAAATAAACTACGAGAAGAGGTAGGTTTAACCTGAGAGATGCTTGGTATGGATGACGACTTTGTTTACGTGGCACGTGGCAATTGTTATCGAACAATTTTAACAAAAAAAATTTATTTTTGCAGCCAAAAGTATTTTGTTAACACACCAATTATTAATAAAATAAGTTGAGTGTGTTTGTTTCTCATTTTTTTCAAAATATATTTTTTCCTTTCTTATTTTTAATCATATATTTTTCAATAAAATAATATTACACGTAAATTCAAAATTTTTCCTTATTTTTTAGTCACACATTTTTCATCAAATCACTGTTCCTAAATGCACTTTTGACTAAAAATAGGACTCGAACAAGCTCGTTATTCGTAATTGTAGAAGTAGCGTTATGCTTAGCGCGAGGTCATAGACTACAGTGTGTGTGGCCGTCTAAAAAATGAACAATGCTAGTTGTAGTCGGTGACTACAGCAGTCGTGTATCATGATTTTAATAATTAAAAAAAATCAAATGAATTTTCATATTAATAACGAAACATTAGATGTCACGTAGAACGACTATTGTGTTGTTGATTACTAAAATCATTACTTCTAAAAAATCAATTTTGCTAATTGTACAAATATTGTGTTACAGTTTTATTGACAGAATATGAGACGATAAATTAAGGGCCAAGAAATTGCCACCTCATTTCTATCAACAACTTTGTACATAAATTTTGTACATGTAATCAACCAATTAAATGTCATCTAGGAGTCGTGACATTTAATTAAGGGCCAAGAAATTGCCTCCTCATTTCTATCAACAAATTTGAACATAAATTTTTTACGTGTAGCAGTTCACAAAATGGGTTTTTAATTTCTACTTTCGTAATTTGGAATGACACAATTTTTTTTTTAATTTAAGATATTTTTAATCTATTCGAGAATATTTTGTTGTCACTTAGATAATTGATTGAATAAACATGGCCTATAAATGAAAGAGTTTTTGTTACTTCTTAATATTGACCATTCAAATTTCAAATCTTAGCCCTTGTTTTACAATCGTACTTTTGAAAAATAGTATTTTTTAGGATAATGTATTATTAAAAACTATAAAAAAAATAAAAAAATTTGAATTTACGTACAGAATATTTTATTTTATAAATGCGCAGTTAAAAATAACTATGTAGAAAAAAGAGTTTAAAAAGTATTATTATTAAACAAGGTTTTAATATTTTCTTCTTCTAAGTCCCTTTTTGACAACCTTTAATTTAATTTAACCAAATATTCTTCGAAAAATTCTATTCAAAACTATATTTTTTCAAATTTTAAGGCCACTAAACAGGGGCCAAGTTTCTAGAGTTTAAACCTGACTTGACCAGTTTGTCATTTTGCATTCTGACCCCAAATCTGGCAATTGAAAACTCACCCAAGTCCACACTTGACATTGCTCCATGATGTATTAGATATAGGTTGTCATGTTGATGGTAGGATTTTGGTCTTTAGAATTTGTTGAAGATGGGGTTTCATAGGGTTATTGGGAGGTTTTGATTGTGGTTTGTAAATAATATTAATGAAACTCTAAATTCTAGAAATGAAAGTAGAAAGTAGGGGTAATTAAATGCACCAAGATCCCAAACAGTTGTAAACTCTATTGATAAGTTTCGTATGCTCAACAAAATTTAGATTTTTAACAAATTTGCGTACATATCATTCTTCTTGGCCTTCAAACGAGTAGTTTCCGGGTAGGAGATCAAAACTTACCAAAGTACAGTTGCAAGCTGACAATTGAAACCAAAAGATAAAGGGTACACAAGTGAATTAATCTTAAACATTATCTGCAGTTGTTGCTTGGGAGCCATCACTTGATGAGGCCTTCATAGAAGATGAATTTAGTGCAGAAACTTTGGACACCATAGAATGATCATCCTTGGTCTTACCCCATAGCACCAGGTACACCCCAACCACTATAACAATCCCTCCTACAACCCTGCAATTCCAATGTATACAATCAAGAAAAAGATATAATATATTAGTGAGTGAAACACTAGTAATGAGAGACAAGAAAATTTACTTTCCCAATGCCAAGAGCTCTGATAAAATGAAACTGCTCATAACAGCAACAATCAACATGGTTAGAGGATTAAATGATGTTAAAAACACTGGTCCTTTTTCTCGTAATATATATCCTGAAATATAATAAGCAAGTCCTGAACACAGAATTCCCTGCACAAAACATGTATACAAGTTAGGTTCTCCTATATAGATTAAGCCCTGTTTGGTTAAGCTAAAAGTAAATTTTTAATTAGATTTCGATAAAAGTCGATAAAACGTGTATATTTGAAAAGTTGATAAAAAAATTGTGAGTTCCATGAAATTTATGTTTGAGAAAAAATGAGTTTTAAAAAATAATGTCAAACATATGCTAATATTCAAAGATTCATAAATCAAATATCTTACTCCGTAGACATAAGCTAATAGTTTAATATCCCAATGTATCGACCAACTTGTAAAATTAATGCCCTTCTCGAACACAACAGACGCTATAAAGCCTTCGAAGCCAATCGCAGTACTTATCATAGCCGTGAGGGAGAGTGAAGCTGTGTATGACTCCAATGTTTTTGCCTGCATTCATAAATTTTTATGAGTTAAAACTTTGATGTTTACTTAATTTAATTGTGTTTTAATTTTTCTTTAATTAGAGATTGTTAAACAACTCTTTCCAAGAGTTATGATCCTTCAGAAGAGTAAAAAATTTATATATTGTAAGTTCAATAATCAAATTTTGGGGTGAAAAGACAAAGAGGGGGGAGGGAGGGGGGTGGGGGGGTTGTACAAGTGACTAAGAATCAGGGGCGCTTATCCACAAGCATGGGTCGGGGGTCCAGAAGGCCTGGTGTGCTTGCTCAATTGCTGGAGGCAGCCGTTGTTGAGCCTAACCTGCCCCGGGTGATCCTTCCTCGTCCTCCATACTATCAAACCTCTGAATATTTTCTTGATTCTTAAAAGCTCATAGCTATATATAACGATGTTAAAAATTAACATTATTTGGAAATTCTCTGACATGCCATTGTGGGTTGGGGTTTGGATGATTACTTATGAATGTTGACCGAAAGTATTTTAAGTCTACTTTTGTAGGCTACAATAACAATTTTGCAGATAAATGCCAAACGAGGGATCAAAAAAAGATTAGGGAGTAAGAAAATTCGACAAGCAATTCCTTCCAACCATTGTAATTTAAGTATCCCCCCATAAGAATAAAGTCCCACGCACACCAATTCATAGATTTACAGAATAGAAGTTGTATCACGTGCTCAAAGTAGGTCATGTTTGGAATTGCTTTAAAAAAACTCAAATTTTATTGTCAAACAATCACAGCTCGATACAGCGGAGGAACAAGCTTTAACCTACTTATATTCTGCATTTAGCTTCACTAAATACTCATAATTTAAATATAAATTTAACCCTCATGAACAAGCATGTAACATATTGAGGTCATGTTTGGTACACTGGATAAATGGTATTATGATGGTTTAAGGTGAATAATGTTTTATCATTTTTCATTCAAAAGATGGTCATTTGCACAGTTGACTTTATAATATAGTACAACAGTTGGAAGCAAGTTCAAACCGGATAAAGAAAATGTATAGTAAATGACATTCTTTTGAATAAAAATTGATGTATACTATCTCGCTTAATCCACTATAATATTACATATTAATATTATAATTTTATACTAAATTTATTTCACTAATTAATTCGATGGAATGTTTATCTAAGCATGTCTTCTAAATTGAATTGTCCAACATTGAAAAAAGTCAAAAACATTAACTAGCGGTAAAAACAAACTAACGGCCTGTTTGATATCTTTCATTTTCTATGGAACTTGGAAATCATTTTCCATTTTCCATCTTTTACAATGTTTGATAAGCAAAATTTTCCTTGGAATTGATTTCCCTCCCAACCCCCACGTGACCTCCTTTTCTTGGTTTTCATTGAATTCGTTTTCCCATCATTGGTGGGAAAATGGTTTCCACCTTTTTTTAAATTATTTTTTTTTTAGCAATGGAAACAAATTATATCCCTTTAATGGACAATTTCCAAGTAAAACAAAGTCAAGCGAGTACCAAAAGATTCAATATTTTCCACGTGAAAAATTATACTAATCAAACACGACTAATTGACAATCCTCAGGAAAACAATTCTAGACAATTCAATTCCTTAGAATTTATTTTCTTTTCATCCAAATTCCACTCTTACAATCAAACGGACCCTAAAAATCTTTTTTTTTTTTTTTTGGTATTTGGAGAGAGAATTACATGTTGTCTCCCTAGCCTGGCAACTGTACAAGTGGATAATCCTATCTCATATTCAAAGTTGCTTTATCCTTCAAAATTAAAACATACGCGACTAAACCAAATACTCCCCCCAAACTCTTGCTATCTCCCTCCATCTCTCTCTCCATAAACCAAAACACACAATCTACCAATAAATCAAACCACTCTCTCCCTCCATCTCCACCTACCCATGTAACCCACCTTAAATCAAAACTCTCTCTCTCCACATGTGTGTGTATATCACATCACATGATATGACTAAACCAAATACTCGCCCAAACTCACCCAAAGTTAAAATCACATCACACGATACGACTAAACCAAATGCTCACCCAAACTCTCGTTGTCTCCCTCCCCCTCTCTCCATAAACCAAAACACACAATCTCCGAGTAAATCAAAACCACTCTCTCCCTCCATCTCTATTTGGAAATCATTTTCCATTTTTCATCTTTTACAATGTTTGATAAGCAAAATTTTCCTTGGAATTGATTTCCCTCCCAACCCCCACGTGACTACCTTTTCTTGGTTTTCATTGAATTCGTTTTCCCACCATTTGGTGGGAACATGGTTTCCACCTTTTTAAAAAAATTTTTTTTTTTAGCAATGGAAACAAATTATATCCCTTTAATGGACAATTTCCAAGTAAAACAAAGTCAAACGAGTACCAAAAGATTCAATATTTTCCACGTGAAAAATTATACTAATCAAACACAATTAATTGACAATTCTCAGAAAAACAATTCTAGACAATTCAATTCCTTAGAATTTATTTTCTTTTCATCCAAATTCCACTCTTACAATCAAACGGACCCTAAGAATCTTTTTTTTTTTTTGGTATTTGGAGAGAGAATTACATGTTGTCTCCCTAGCCTGGCAACTATACAAGTGGAATAATCCTATCTCATATTCAAAGTTGCTTTATCCTTCAAAATTAAAACATACGCGACTAAACCAAATACTCCCCCAAACTCTTGCTATCTCCCTCCATCTCTCTCTCCATAAACCAAAACACACAGTCTAGCAATAAATCAAACCACTCTCTCCCTCCATCTACCCATGTAACCCACCTCAAATCAAAACTCTCTCTCTCCACGTGTGTGTATATCACATCACATGATACGACTAAACCAAATACTCGCCCAAACTCACCCAAAGTTAAAATCACATCACATGATACGACTAAACCAAATGCTCACCCAAACTCTCGCTGTCTCCCTCCCCCTCTCTCCATAAACCAAAACACACAATCTCCGAGTAAATCAAACCACTCTCTCCCTCCATCTCTACCTACCCACGTAACCCACCTTAAATCAAAACTCTCTCTCTCCACGTGTGTGTATATCAATATATGTAAGGAAGGTGTTGGGTTTTGTGACCCAAATCAGGTCTAAATTGGGTTTAGGGCTTCGCATTTGGAGTATTGGGCTTGAAGATGTCAAAATAGGGTCCAAGAAGGAAATAAGGTGGATTGACGACGCTGGACGGACACTCGAGCAACAAAATTGGAACGGAGAAGTTGTCGCCCACCTGTCGCCGAGTTGTCGCTCAAGCATAATTTATTTCCTTATTTTTCAATTTTCTCGATTTTTTACCTAACTTCCATATTTTAGATTAATTCTAGGGTTTGGACATGTATCCTATAAATAGTAGACTATTCAGTTTCATAGATCAGAAGTTGCAGAAATTGTATTATCGTTCTCTCTATTGGGTGTCAAAAAAATATTCGGTTCATCTGCCAATTCATCTTCTTGTTTGCTTTTCTTTTAAACCTTGTTCTTGCTTATTTGTTTGTGCGATTTATACTTCATATCGCGCCATATCTCATCATCAAATTTCTAACAAGTGGTATCAGAATCAAAGTTCAGCAATTGTGCATGACCAAAAGTCTGACCAGCAAATTGCTCAAAAGCAGAGGCTTTATTCTCATCGCATGGCAAAAGGCCGATTATTAGAAGATCATCTGGCCGTATTTAAGGAAATTGTCGCTGATCTGGAGACGTTAGAGGTAAAATATGATGAAGAGGACTTGGCCTTGATCATGTTACGCTCGCTGCCTAGTTCATTTTCGTCGTTTAGGGACACGATTCTCTACAGTCGTGACACACTCACTATCGAAGACTCGTATGATGCCTTGTTCGCAAAGAAGAAGATGAAACATCTGGTTGGAGCTGATTCCAGAGATGATGAAGCTCTTGTGGTTTGTGGTGATTAGCGAAGGGGCAAGTCAAGGGTGAATTTCAGAAAGGACACATCAAGAGGGATTGCGAGAACTTGCATGGTAAGGGTAATTCAACTGCAAATCGTGGAAGGCAATCAGAGACTTTAGGTGAAGCAGACATCGCAGAGAACCTTGTAAGTGAGGGAGATCTCTTGACTATTTTTGACGTGGAATCCAAGCGACGAGGAGTGGATTTTGGATACAGCTGGTGCGTTTTATATGAGTCCAATAGGGATCTGTTTGAATCATATGAACGGTGACACAAGGTGCCGTTGTCATGGAAAACAATGAATCTTGTCAGGTAGCTGGTATTGGGAGAGTCAGATTGAAGTTGGTGGATGGAACAATTAGAACACTTGGTCAGATTCGACATGTTCTAGACTTGAAGAAGAACATCATCTCACTGAGTACCCTGGAATCGAGAGGGTACACGTTCTCTGGTGCAGGTGGAGTCTTGAAGGTCCCGCAGGGTATCCGTGTTATATTGGAGGGACAGAAAAAGTCTCGGATATACATCTTGTAAGGTCGGGTAGAATCAGTGAAGAAACATTAGCACGGGTTAGGTACCGTAGTGGATATATAGTTTGGTACAGTACTGTTAGGAGTTGGCTCTGGGTCTATTTTGAAAAATACTACTCTGTCGAGTTTGGGGAATATGGGTACTTTCGCTTCGCTACCACAGTCTGCAGTTCATTGTATTCAACCTCTAGGGAGAAGTCCATTGAAAATAGTTACGGGAAGTTGATCTAAATGTTCATGCTTTTGGAGTTATTGAAGGTGACGAGAATAGCTAGGGGCCTTCAATTAAAGAATTTAATGGTGATTCTGCTATAGGGTGTGTTTCGACCATGTTTAGTAAATTTTGAATTCGTTGTGAATTTCGGGAACCCGCGGGTTGGATTCATTTGTATCCGTGTTTGGATATGGTGGAAGAGGAAGAGTATTTTTGAGTGTTGGAGAGGTTTAGTTCCAGTTGAAGAGTTCAGTGTGTTTCACTGCAGTAGGACTTATTTTTTCAATGGAGAAATTTTGGAGCTTCATTCGTTGCACCGGACTTTGGGTCTAGGGCTTTGCGTTTGGAGTATTGGGCTTGAAGATGTCAAAAAAATAGGGTCCAAGAAGGAAATAAGGCGGATCGACGGCGCTGGACGGACGCTCGAGCAAGATGAACAAAATTGGAACAGAGAAGCTGTCGTCCGCCTGTCGCTCGACCGACGAGTTGCATAATTTATTTCATTATTTTTCGAGTTTACGCGATTTTTGACATAGTTTCCATATTTTAGGTTAATTCTATGGTTTAGACATGTCTCCTATAAATAGTACTCTTTATTCAGTTTCAGGTTTCTGCAATTAACCATGCTCCCATGCTCTACATATCCATTTAGCTTTCTTCATTTTTTATTTGATTGAAGAAATTTCGATCAGCACAGTCATTCCTTAAATACCCAACTTCTCTCTCAAATTTTTATTTTTTTTGTTTATTTCTTGTCTCTTTTTTAAGTTTTCAATTCCACTTTCAGAAGACATTGGATTTAGACTAAAGATAAAAAATGCACGATCTATTCATTTAAGAAAAATGATATACTGTACAAAAGGAAAGCTATAATACATACCTGAAGAATGTTAAAACTAGCCGAAAAAAAACAAGCTCCTAAGATCATGAGAGGGCCTTTAATGGAATTTTGGTGATAATTTGCAGCACTTGTGGGTTTGTGTTTGGTCCATGGCAATTCGATAACAGGTCCTTTGATAAATGTCATCGCCACGACTCCACCAATGCTGACAAAAGTTCCAATAACCTTTGCCTGGCCGTGTAAGCTTCTAAATTTCACCTTCTCGAGCCTTCAGAAATAGAAATACACAAATAGATGCGTGTATTAATATTAGCAAAGGAAATGAATTACTTAGTTTGGAGAAAACTCAATATTAGAATTGTTAAAGGATAAATAATTCCATATCGAATAAAGATAAAATATAAACCAAAATGAGTGGACAGTAAATCAAATGAGCGATTCGACCCGACCACTAAGATTCAAAAATTAGCACACAAATTTTGAAAAAGGTTGACCTTCCATGAAACCCAAGTCTTAATAAGAACAAGTTTTCAAACACGACAAATTTCTTGAAACAAAACCCACAGGAAGTATACAAATCCAGTAAAATATTTGTGACACTAAACCACAATAACATCAAGGCATTTATAGATCAGGGCTCAGACAATAAATTGTACCTTCTGTTTGACCTTGGAACCGTAACAACAAAAACCCATATAAAATGTTGCTACAGTGACCCAAAAGAAAAACCAATTAGCAGACGTTTTCCCTCTCTTTACGAAACAAATGATCTTTTATCTCACTCAGAGAAAAATCAGAAATGGAAGAAGTAGAGAGAATTTGGAATTAGAGCCGAAACGGAAGAATCAGATGAATAATGAACAAGGCAATTGTGGGATTTCTATATAAGCCAATCTGCCAACCATTGATCTTCAATCCCAGAGCATCTCAGAAAATAAGTGGCTGACCAAAATCGCTTTTCCACAAACAGCGATTTCATGCTTTGGGTTCGGGTCATGGGCCAAGATCAAATTCCCAGTCGATTGCTTATATATTTGAGCCAGGGCCCATTTCATCATTGCCCCTGATACCTTTGGCATTACAGCCCAACACCTTGAGAATAACACTACTACAATTAAATCATTCATCGGATCCGACTCCGGTGAAATGCGTACCTCAACAGCAAAGCCAGCATAAAGCTTATAATTGGAAGAAAGTTGAAGAGCGTTGTTGCAAAACTTGCCGTTGTATGTTTCATTCCAGCATAGTACAAGTTTTGATCCAGAACACTACAACAAAAATTTATTTTTAGGCCGATATTAGAAGGTGTAATAACAAATATAAAGAAAATTCATTACAGGCTATGAGCTAATCAAGAATAGGTAACAAAAAATGTAGTATAAGCTCGTTTGACATGACTTTTGCCATGCCAAATAGGCTATGTCTAATTATAATCTATACATATTCTCCTTGAATTTACCCAAATAAGCCAAGTAGAAAGATCTTGCAGAGGGTGGGGAGTGTCATCCTTGGCCTTGAATTCCTGTCGAAATTATTACATTTTTTGGTTACTTGAGTTTTCTAATTCTCAGAGCTGCGCTTATGTCTGTTGTGTGTGGTGTGGGAGTGAGACCTCCAACCGACCTTTCGAATATTACTGCCGGAGGGCCAAAGACGACAGCAGCAATCGCATTCCTGTAGACAGTGAAGGTGAAATGATCCATTCCCAGGTTCAGAGCACGCTTTGCAATGATGAACAAACCTGCAAACACAAAACGTAAGAAGATAGCAGCCAAATACGGCATCGCATTTCTGGAATCCATTTGCAGCTAAAATGGTTTTCTGCGTTCAATTTCTCTCCTCTGGGGTCTGTATAGACAGCAGTATGAAGTTTAGAAGACACTGTAGGTAGGGTGAGGGAACAAAATCAAATGTAAGAACGAACTGAATGTGAATCTCTCTGATACGAGTTAAGCTATTTATGTAGGCAAGCCTTAGAGTGCTAAAGGTGATTGATCCATATTGGCTTCAGCAAGATATGACCGTGGCGGGCTACATACAGCGTAAGAATCACGAAAACAAAATGACGGTTTCTTCTTTCTAGAGGTGAAAAAACGAGGATTGGGATTTAAGAACTCTTAAGTGTATTCAATTGAGACTTTTATAGTGTTTTAAAAAGTTTCTAAAACTCACTGTCTATTCAATTAAAACTTTTTAGAATTCTCTATAAATTCTGGATATTCAAATTTTATTATCTTTTAGAGATTATTATAAAAGTCTTCATGATTTTAACTTTTAAACAAAAAGTACTAAAACAATTTGTTTTATGTAAATAAATTATTACATTTTTTGGTTACTTAAGTTTTCTAATTCTCAGAGCTGCGCTTATGTCTGTTGTGTGTGGTGTGGGAGTGAGACCTCCAACCGACCTTTCGAATATTAAGGAAGGAGGGCCAAAGACGACAGCAGCAATCGCATTCCTGTAGACAGTGAAGGTGAAATGATCCATTCCCAGGTTCAGAGCACGCTTTGCAATTATGAACAAACCTGCAAACACAAAACGTAAGATGATAGCAGCCAAATATGGCATCGCATTTCTGGAATCCATTTGCAGCTAAAATGGTTTTCTGAGATCAATTTTTCTCCTCTGGGGTTTGTATAGACAGCAGTATGAAGTTTAGAAGAGACTGTAGGTAGGATGAGGAAGCAAAATCAAATGTAAGAACGAACTGAATGTGAATCTCTCTGATATGAGTTAAGCTATTTATGTAGGCAATGATCATATTGGCTTCCGCAAGATCATATGCCCGTGGCGGACTAAATAGTAATACAGCGTAAGAATCACGAATATAAAATGACGGTTGGATTTAAAAAGTAACTCTCAAGTAAAAAATGGGGAGATTTTTCAAATTTGCCAATTGGTCAACTAATCTTTTAATAAAAATACGTAAAAGGTCCATTTTACCCTTGATGAAATGAATTTTATTGCAAAATATATCCCTACTTTATGAATAATTTTAAAAATTAGTTTTTTCTGAGTTCAATTTCTCTCCTCTGGGGTCTGTATAGACAGCAGTATGAAGTTTAGAAGACACTGTGGGTAGGATGAGGGAACAAAATCAAATGTAAGAACGAACTGAATGTGAATCTCTCCGATATGAGTTAAGCTATTTGTGTAGGCAAACCGTGGCGAGCTACATACAGCGTAAGAATCACGAAAATAAAATGACGGTTTCTACTTTCTTGAAGTAAAAAATGAGGATTGGGATTTAAGAAGTCTAACTCTCTAAAAAAGTATCGGTGTATTCAATTGAGACTTTTATAGTATATTTTAAAAAGTTTCTAAATGTCACGGTACATTCAATTAAAACTCTTTAGAATTCTCTATAAATTTTGGGTATTCAAATTTTATTAATTTTTAGAGATTATTATAAAAGTTTTCATGATGCTAACTTTTAAACAAAAAGTACTGAAATGAAATCTCTCATTAATCACAAGAATTTGGGAGACATTCACCAAAAAAAAAAAGGAAAAAAAATTAATATGTATTTTTTTTTTTTTCAATATTTCTCTTTCATTTTCATTTCTATGAACATTAGAGTTATGATTAAAATTTATTTTTTTCTATCTTTTTTCTTATTGTTTATTTCTTATTTTTATGAAAAAAAAAATTGTATTCTTATAATTTTTTTTCCTTTTTTATTCTTTTTTTTGCTTGCATTGTGAAGTAATAGATTTGTGAAGAATGTGTGATTAAAAATGAAGGAAATTTTTTTTTGAGCTTTTTAATATTATTTTATTGAAAAATGCGTAATTAAAATAATAGAAAACATTATATTTAAAAAAAAATTGGGAATCAAACAAGGGCATAGTCTCCGAGTAAATCAAAACTCTCTCCCTCCGAGTAAATGAATCCTCCATCTCTACATAATTACGTAACGCACCTTAAATCAAAACTCTCTAATTCCACGTGTGCTACCAGTAAATTAATAAAGATTCAATAACAAGTACATATACGTTGCAATTAAATTACAGGGCTGAATAATGAAAAATTTGCAATGCGTCAACACAAATGGAGATGAAAACTGGAAAGAGAAAAACATATTCTAAGAAAAAATAAAATAAATATGAAATATATTGAGATAATAAGTACACCACAATATTGTATTTTATTTTTCGTTTTTAGTTTTTATTGTATTAGGATAGCAATTATAAATATTTATTGTAAATATATTTTAATTGTGGTATGTACTATAATGTAGTGTAGTAATTAAATTTTGTGGTAGTAATATAATTTCTCTTTTTCTTAACCAATATTTGGCTTAATCAGAAAAAAAATATGAATTAGTTATTAAAATAGTCACGTGTTATGTAAATATGACGACAAATAATTAACAAATCAACATAAATAAAGGTATTCGAATAAATTAATATAACTAATTACGATTTTATCTAATTTTTTCCACAATTTTGATACTTACAATATTTTAAAGTAATATTATCATATCACTAAAATGTAATAAAGTTGGCTTCAAAAGTTTAAAGTTTATTTTATTTTTAGTTACTTTTTTGCTGTATATATTTGTAATTAATATTTTTTTTAGTTTTTAAATGAGAAATCAATTTTTTCACAAAAAAAATATGAATTTGGGAAGAAATTTCTGGATAAAAATTGAACTCATTTAAACTAAAACAATTTGTTTTATGTAAATTAAATTAAGAAAGACAAGTAGAAAAATAAATAGATTAATTTGTGTTGTTCGTGAAATCAAATTGTCAAATGCTGAGTTGCCACGTGTACGTCATGGTCAATGTCGAATTACCACTTGCAGGGTCACGGCGAATGTCGAATTACCACGTGCAGGGTGGCAGTACACAAAAAGTGGAAAGGGAGATTCTACCAACCATACCGGAAAATTGGCGGAGACACAGTCGGATTAAAAAAAAAAAAATTTCACAAACTAAAAGTGAGAAAAAAAATAAAGAAATAAATGAAAAATAAGAAAATTTACGACTAAATTATCTCGAAAACTTTTTAAATTGCAAAACTAAAGGTAAAAATAATAACTAATATCATGAAAATATTATTTAATATTTTTTTATTTTTTGTTCATTAAATAGAATTTATTAATTAGAAGATAATATTTGTCCGTGTGACAATGTTAAAAAAAAAAATGAAATGAAATGAAGTTTTCTCAATATGCTGTTAACTAATTCCTTATTCATCTCAAGATGAAGTTCAACGAAAAAAAAACTGTAAATCTAACACGAAAGAATATTATTTCTTAATGAGAGAAAAAAAAAACAAAAAGAAGGGCTAAAGTAGTTTTTAAAAAAAAAAGGAACGTAATACAAAAAATAGCAAGTGATTTGTAATTGGGTAATTATATTACCATTACAAAATTTACTAAATGCACCGCGATTTTTAATATTTTTCTTATTTACTTAAATAACAAGTAAAATTACATGAATATGGTTTTAATATATTTTCTAGTAAAATAAAACTATTATTCTACTTCAAAAATAAACCTAATTTTCCCCAGCTTCCATTCAAACAACACTACATCCAGCAAGCTAGAGTTGGAACCTTTTTCTGCCTTTTCTTATCATATGGCTGCAATAGATTTTACAGCGTGTGATGAAAGTGATGTATTGCATGACGTAAGTATGCTTGTTTTATGTAAGTAACATCTTGTGGAATTTATTGTCTTGCGTGCTCATTAATTAATCTATACCTCTTCATTACAAGAGATACTTTGGACACAAACCTAACATCCGCCCTAATGCTAAGAAGTTGTACAGGCTGTCCGTAAACCAAGATAACATGACTTGGGGAGAATTTGCCTCCAAAGTTCGTTAGTTTCAAAGAGGCTTCATGGGAGAGCGAAAAGAGGACGAGTTTCAAGAAAATCTATCTACCTGTCTTTGCGAAGATTTTGTGGCCATACCAAAGATGATTATGGATTTGCTAAAGTGCGGAAAAGGATACATCACCACTAAGAAAGACTGATATATAACATCTGAAAGTCAAAATATGAATGATAACCTAAAATGATCTGATCCTGAAGACGATGAAGATCCAAGTAATGAAGAAAGAAAATGATGAGAAAAATGAGAAATATTGGGTGATGTGTGTGTGTATTTCATTTTTAGTTTTTATTGGACGCGTTAGATGACTTTCTCCATAATGAAATTGGTATTTGATTTCCTTTATCATGCTATAAATTTGGAACGTGTTATCTAGCCGTGTATGCTAAAAATAATTGATCATCATAACCTCTAATTATGCTTAAACATACTCTTGTCATGTAACTTTAGTACAAATTGAATGAACCATCCATCTAAATTTTTTTCAGCATTCTATCCTTAATTTAAATAATCACCACATATTATCACATTGTTTGATTTCCATTTTTTAAAACATATATTTCTCTCTATTTTTTTTTTACCACGTATCTTTCCATAAAATAATTTTACATACAATCCAAAAAAGTTTCATTTATTTTCAACTACACATGTTCCATTAATATATTATTTCAGGCCCCTGTTTGGCCCCTATTATTGTTAGAAAAATTTAATGTAATGTAATGAGATATAATGGAGGGCAAACAAGGGCCAAAATTCATTCTACCCAGTTAATGGAGCTCAATCAGTCATATACTTCCACTTTTAGGATGACTCTAACTGGTGGATAAGAATGGTCATTAGTCGGCCGAGTCAGCTCGCAAGCCGAAGCTCATAGGTCAAGTCGATGCTATCGAGCTACTCGACTCGGCCTCTTACGTAGAAAGGAGCAATACCAATCTCATCGTGTTGCGGTGATTAGTCATCTTCCTCTTCATCAAACTTCATAGTAGTTACCATTATCAGTTAGAGGGGAAGGGGCCGATCCAATCCTAAGATTCCGTGCAGCCTCGTCACCATTCTCTTCTTCTAGCTCCTTGGAGTTTTTTTTTCTACACAAAATTGTTGCGTCGCGATGGTAATCTTCCTTACACACAAAGGATTTTCTTAACAATATGTCTCTTGAACTTTTGATGTGGTTGTTTATATAAGGTTTGCTCCTTACAAGTGTAATTAGTTAAATATCCAGGACCGAAATCCACTAGACCCAGGTAGCTCCGCCCCTTATTTGAAGGCAAGGAACTTTTGTTCAAGAGACCACCTGCTTCGCTTCGGAACTTCTCATTTTACGAACATAATTCCCTCGAAGCCATTTTCCTATTTTTCAACTATTTCTTCTTCAGATTCAATCGACACTTTTAGTATTCTGCTAAGTATTTTAAAGAAAAAGAAAACCATTTTCTATACTTTCTGAGTTCTTTTAGAAATTTGAGTCAACCTTTCAATAACCTCGGGACTTTTTAGAAACCTATCTTTTTTTGGAGGATTTTAAAATTGTTTAATACTTTATCTGATGATATAGATTATGTAATGTTGATTTTCAAGTGTATTGAGGTTCCTGATACTTTCTATGCCAACACTTTTATCAAGGCCTATTCTTGCTGCTTTGCAGCTCACCTTTTACTTTGAAATGCTCCAGCAGAGTTACATTTTTTCCTAATAGTTTCACTTATCCGCCTCTGTTCAGTGCTTGTGCGAAAATGGGTTGTTTGAGCTTGGGTCAGAAGTGTCACGGGCAAGCTCTGAAATATGGTGTTGATGGAGTTTTGCTGGTGCAGAACTCTTTTGATTCATTTTTATGCTTCTTTTGGGCTCATGGAAATTGCTGAAAAGTGTATGTTGAGATGCCCGTGAGAGACTTGGTGTCCTGGAACACCAAGTGTGGGCGGGTTTGTCAAGGTTGGTTAGATGGGTGGAGCACATCGTTTGTTTGATGCAATGCCTGAGAGAAATATTGTTTCTTGGAATGTTATGATCACAGGTCATTTGAAGTTCGGAAACCCTGGGAATGCAATGAAGTTGTTTGGCAAATGATGGGGATGAGATTTAACTGCAATGATACAACCATAGTAAGCGTGCTTACTGCATGTGGGAGGTCTATTAGACTGAAGGAAGGAAGATCAGTTTCATGGGTTTCTTTTTAGGATGTTTCAGTTTGATTATTGAAGGATGGATGTAGCTCGGTAATTTTTAATAGGATGTTAGCTCGTTGGAATGCAATGATATTAGAGCACTGCATTCATGGGAATCCAGTTGTTCTTTGAGATGAAATTACCTTTATTGGCATTTTATGTGCCTGTGCCCGGAAGGGAATGTTGGTAGAGGGGAGAAACTACTTCTCCCAAATGGTTGATGTGTTTCACGTGAAGCCCAATTTTTCATATTACTGGTGCATGGCTAATCTTATGGCTTATGTTGGTCTAATTTTGCAAGAGGCTGTGGATATCTTAAGGAACATACCGGTTGACAGGGATGCGTCTCCTGAAACCTCATTGTGGGCGGGGTTGCTTGGGTCATCTCGTTTTCAAGGGTATCTGAACTCAGGGGGACAAATTGCTAATAAATTAATTGAGCAAGATCCTCAGAAATTTTCATATTACATGTTGCTAGTTAATGTTTATGCTGTAGCTGGTAAATGGGAAGGAGTTCCCCCCCTGAGCATCCCCTGGTTGAGTATTTCTGAGATCACATTTTCTAACCTTCTACAATTGTTTCTGATAGTGTTTCATTGATTTTTAATCTTCACGTATTGATGATCAGGGGAAATGCTTGCTAAACAAAATGAAGCTGAACTACACAGAGTCAAGAAACAACTCACTGGTTTGTCATTCTGGCTAAAATTTTAACAGGCCTATTGATGCATCACACAGGACTTGTGGATGCTTATTATTTGTTTTCTTATCTTCATTACTCTGTGCTAAGTCAGGAAACACGCTCCACGTGATGTGATAATTTTACCTCTGGACTTGACTTTGGGGGAATTTGTCTTAGAAAGGCTGTAGAGAAAGCGGAATCTTGTCTGAGGGTATGTTCCACAATGCAGCCTTTGAGCACCCTGTAAGTAGTTGGATATTGTTTAAAATTGAACACACAAGACTAGCTATAATTTGGTAAATGGTATTACAGTTGAAGAATGGAGGGAATACCTTAAGTTGCGATAGAGGAAAACTCTTAAATACCAAAAGAAAGAAATGTTGACATCGTCTCCAACTTTGTCCAAGCAATGGAATCTATTGGATTGGAATAATTGAAAGAAGTGAGTTGCAAGTGGGAGTTATTATCACAAGCCTTTATTTACGTATCTATCTATTATTCTTTGGCTGGGGAAGGGGGTGAAAAAAGCACAAGATAAAGATTACTTCCAGAAAACATTTTCTTTAAGAGGATCAAACATAGAACACAGAAGGGATGTACGACTTACTAGTTCCATTTTCTTTCTCTCTCTTAAGCAGATTATGCAGCTTTTACACACCTGCTGATTTCCCCCTTTTCTTCTATGGAATCAATTGGAGATTTGTTTATACTGAGCTGGTAATTTGGATATGTTTCTTTGCAGAAAACATCTTTAGACGTGACAGAGGAAAGCCTCAAGGTGTCATGCATGGGTAGAAGTGTGGTTAATAGTGATTATACCTGTTATCTTGTATCTTGACTAGAACAAATGGTTCAGGTTGGTGGGTTAGGACCTAGGGCATTGATGTTAGAAGTATCACCTTGATGGCGACAAGTTTGACATAGAGGTGGTAACTTTTTACACGTTGATTTTAAAAATACTTTAAACAATCAATGACATAGATTTTAACACATTGAGAGATGTCAAGGAAGTTGTCAACTACTAGTGTACAATTAGTTTAATCTAATACCAAATGTGAAGACATATGTAACGGTTGATACCCCTTCATACAATATAATATTAATTTGCTTTTGATAATTAATTTCAACGTATTGATTAAGCAATCCCTGCAGCTGTTGCTTGGGAGCCATCACTTGATAAGGCCTTCATAGAAGATGAATTTAGTGCAGAAATTTGTTGTCTAATTGATGGTAATTCCTCTTCTGTGTGCACCATAGATGAGCTATTATGGTCATCCTTGGTCTTACCCCATAGCACCAGGTACACCCCAACCACTATAACAATCCCTCCTACAACCCTGCAATAATAATAATAATAATGCCAATGTATAGAGTGAAGTAATACAGCAGTATTGAGAGAGAAGAAAATTTACTTTCCCAAATCCAATTGCTCTGCTAAAATGAAACTGCCCACACCAGCAACAATCAACATGGTTAGAGGATTAAATGATGTTAAGAACACCGGTCCTTTTTCTTGTAATATATATCCTGATATATAAGTAGCAAGTCCTGAACAAAAGATTCCCTACACAAAACCATATATATAAGTTAGGATCTCCCGTATATTTTAATGTTCAAAGATTCATAAATCAAACATCTTACTCCATAGACATAAGCTAATAGTTTAATATCCCAATGTATCGACCAAATTGTTAAATTAATGCCCTTCTCAAACAAAACAGATGCTATAAAGCCTTCGAAACCAACAGCTGCACTTATCATAGCCGTGAGGGAGAGTAAAGCTGTGTATGTCGACTCCAGTGTTTTTGCCTGCATTAATCATAAAAATTTTGAGTTAGAACTTTGCTGTTTTCTTAATTTAATTTTTCTTCAAGTGTCATGTTGGTGCTATCCTATCTTCGCCATGACTGGGGCAAGGAGGAGGAGAAGTTAGCAATACCCTCCATTTTTACCTAGTCACTTAACCCCTCCTTAAATCAAAACTCTCTCTCTCTCTCTCCCTTGAATGTTTAGTATGGAAAGTTTCTGCAACTCACCATGCTCCCCGTAAATTAAAACAGATTTTAATTTAATAAAAAATTGATCTCAATCCCTATTAAATAGGCTTAATATCCAAAGTTTAAAATAAACAAATCACCAATCCTCTGTCTCTCTCACTCCATCCAGTCAAATTAGCAATCCTCTGTCTCTCTCACTCCATCCAGTCAAATTCTCTCACTCCTTCCAATCAAATCACCAACTCTCTTCTCTCTAACCCAATCAAGAGATTACATCTCTCTCTCTCTGACCCTTTCAAATCAAGAACCCGCCGTTACCAAAACACACACAGGCACACACTCTCTTACTCCTTACGCCCCAAAACCGAAAATAAAAACTTGCGCGTTCTCTCTCTCTCCCTAAACCAAAACACACACAGGCACACTCTCTCTCACTCCTTACGCCCCGAAACCGAAAATAAAAACCTGCGCGTTCTCTCTTTCTCTTTAAACCAAAGCACACACAGGCACCCTCTCTCTTACTCCTTACGCCCAGAAAATAAAAACTTGCGCGCGCGCTCTCTCTCTGTGTCTCTGTGTTCCCTGTAAATCAAAACACATACACACCTAATCCACCTAGTGAGCAAGCTTTAAAAGTGGTGGCAGGACAAAACGAAAACTCTAAATACGTACCTGAAGAATATTAAAACTGGCCGAAAAAAAACAAGATCCTAAGATCATGAGAGGGCCTTTAATGGAATTTTGGTGATAATTTGCAGCACTTGTGGGTTTGTGTTTGGTCCATGGCAATCCGATAACAGGTCCTTTGATAAATGTCATCGCCAAGACTCCACCAACGCTGACAAAAGTTCCAATAACCTTTGCCTGGCCGTGTAAGCTTCTAAATTTCACCTTCTCAAGCCTTCAGAAATAGCAATACACAAATTATCTGCGTGTATTAATATTTTCTCATGGTGTATATAAAAACAAGCACAGGAAACGAAATACGTAATTATGTACAAGGAAGAAAAAGTAAGATCTATACTACTTCAATTAAATCCTTGATCTGCCCGATCCAGGTGAAGTTTGTACCTGAACAGCAAAGCCAGCAGAAAGTTTATGACAGGAAGAGAGTTGTAGATTGTCGTTGCAAAAGATGCTGTTGTATCTTTCATTCCAGCATAGTACAAGTTTTGATCAAGAACCCTGCACCAAAAAATTATTTTTATGCAGATATAGGTATGTGCAATAACATATATACAGAAAATTCATTAATTATAGGCTTTGAGCTAATCAAGAATCGGTAACCACAGAGTACTATATCTAATCATACATATGCTCTTTGAATTTACCCAAATAAGCCAATTAGAAAGATGTTGCGGAGGATGGGAAGCGTCATCCTTGGCCTTGTATTCCTGTCAAAATTATTAAATTTTTTGGTTATTTAAGTTTTCTAAGACACACGGAGAGAGAAAGAAGAGGTGCTTGTGTCTGTGTGCTTGGTGTGGGAAAGAGACCGACCAACCTTTCGAATACTAAGGCGAGAGGGCCAAAGACAATGGCGGCGATCAGATTCCTGTAGACAGTAAAGGTGTAATGATTCATTCCCACGTTTAGAGCGCGCTTTCCGATTATAAACAAACCTGCAAACACAATACGTAAGAATATAGCAGCCAAATACGGCTTCGCTTTTGTCAGAAAAATGATTAAGGAACCCATTTCCAGTTAAAATCGTTTCTGAGTTTAATTTCTCGTGTCAAGTTTTCGAAGAGAAAAACAGGAAGCTTTTTCCAAAGAGAACAAAAAAGTATGCAGCTTTTGGCTATAGGTAAACATGCTAATAATATATCAACCTTCATTCGTCCATTTATGCACAAATGGTTTCCACTGCTGAGTTACTTGTGATGTCACACATATGAGGTCATCCAACTGCCGCTTTTCCTAGACAATGAATAATGTGCAAAATCAAGATCTTGAAGAAATTCATCATCTAGGCAGCAACCATCTTTTCATCTAGAATATTCGGGCATGATTTTTTCAACTTTTTATCTTTTTATTAATCCAATCATGTTTTATTAGAGTGTGCTTGGTTGAGATTAAAATCGGATTAAAATTAAAAAATTAGCCGTTATTGTTGATTTTTATTAGACGAGTGTGACTCAATAACGGTTATATTTTCAATTTTAATTGGATTAAAATTTCTACCAAGCACACTCTAAACCTGTTGTGGATAGATTTAACAACGAAACTTTGTGTTTTGATTTAACACACTCTATGAGGGATAGTGAAGCTGTGTATGACTCCAATGTTTTTGCCTGCATTCATAAATTTTTATGAGTTAAAACTTTGTTGTTTTCTTAATTTAATTTTGTTTTAATTTTTCTTTAATTATAGATTGTTAAACAACTCTTTCCAAGGGTTATGATCCGTGAGAAGAGTCACGAATTTATATATTGCAAGTTAAATAATCAAATTTTGGGGTGAAAAGACAAAAAAAAAAAAATAATAATAAAGGGAGAAAATGAACACAAGTGCCTAAGAGTCAGGGGCGCTTGTCCACATTATTTGAAAATTCTCTAAAATGCCATTGTGGTTTGGCGTTTGGACGATTATTTATGAATGTTGACTGAAAGTATTTTAACTTTTAAGTCTACTTTTGTAGGCTACAATAATAATTTGCGGATAAACGCCAAATGAGGGATCAAAAAAGATTAGGGAGTGAGAAAATTCGACAAGTAAAGGCTACTTTCCTTCAAACCATTGTAATTTAAGCATATCCAAAGTAGGTCATGTTTGGAATTGCTTTAAAAAAACTCAAATTTTATTGTCAAACAATCACAGCTCGATATAGCGGATTAACAAGCTTTAACCTACTTATATCCTGCCTTTAGCTTCACTAAATATTCATAATTTAAATATAAATTTAACCCTCATGATAAAAAAATCAACAATTCTTTTGTTTAAGACTAGTCTGTGCTCGTGCAATTCACGGGCAAAATTATTTTCTTGAAAATAATTTTGGTGTGTTAAATGTGTTAGATCCTCGTGAATTACATTTTGAATTCAATATTTGCTATGACTACACTGTGATGTATTTGTTCTTATCAAGTATGCAATGAGACTTACTAAGTTATATCGTTTCAGACCAAACCAGCAAATGAAGAATTCCATTCACGTTTAATGAAAAATAAGAAACATCTTCATGAAAATATAAATGTAAATAGCTGCGAAAATCTCAATGAAAATGAAATGCACAATGTTACATTTTATAAATAAATAAAAAAGGGGGACAAATGCATTTTCAGTTCTCAGACACACATCCCAAGAAGGTGATAATGAAGGATGTCTAAATAATTTGAGAAAGGAAAAAAAACAAAAAACAAAAAACAAAAAACGAGTTTATCTTTTATGAAAATATGAGAGATGTTTAATCAACACTCTTTTGAAAGTATCATTAAATTACAATAGAACATATATCATAAAATCTTCAAGTATTTATAGGCACAGTTAATTTAAACTCCAGGTAGCACAAAAGGTGTTGGGCAATGGCACGTGCAAATTCAGCATTATCTTGACAACCAGTAAATACCTCTGCAAGGAATTGAATAAGAAATTATGAACTGTAGTATAGATAATTAAGCAGGAAACAGAGAACAGAAAATTCGTTATAATCAAAATGAAAACATGAAAAAATAAGGACAAAATTGAAATGCCAAAGGGAAGAATAACCAAATAAGAGAATGTAGTACAATAGAAGAGTTTCAAGAACCATTTAATGATACCAGTACTCAAAATAAATTTAAGATTATGCACCTGTTTGGTGCATATTTTGGTAGTAAGAATGCATTTTTATTGTTGATGTGATGGGGAATATGTGGTTGAAAAAGAAGGAAAAATTATTGATATGATGAAAAATATTATTTTATTGAAAAATGCGTGGTTGGAAATAGAAGAATGAGAATGAGAAAAATAACGTGGATCAAACATGGGCTATATTTCCTTGAAAAAACATACCAGATCTGGACGAGGTGATGAGGCACCTAAAACGGGGTGACCATTAGGCTGATTTTTAGCATCCCAAATTAATGTAATCCAATTCGAAGATATTAGTGTAATCAATTAAGACTTTTAATGACTTTTTGAGAACTAAAAAGTTTATGAATATTCGATGTCAACTTTCTAAAAGTATTGGTATATTCAATTGAGACTTTTAGAAAGTTTTTAAAAGTCACATTGTATTCCATTAAAACTTTTTAGAAGTCTTTATAAGTTTTGAGGTATTCAAATTTTAATAACTTTTAGAGACTTTTATGGTACTAATTTTTGTGCAGAAAATACTAAAATAAAATCTCACAAAATATCTCACATTAATCACAAGATTTTGGGAAAAATTCACAAAAATAAAGAAGAAAGTAATTTGTATTTTTTTTTTCAATATTTCTCTTTCATTTTCCCTTCTACGAATATTAGAGTTATGATTAAAATATATTTTTTTCTATTAATTATATTAATTTCAATTGTTTCTCTCTCTCTCTCTCTCTCTCTCTCTCTCTCTTATTGTTTATATCTACTTTCTATGAAAAAAATTAAATGGTATTCTTATAACTTCTTTTTTTCTTTTTTCATTCATTTTTTATGAAAAATATCTATTATTAATTAAATTATAAAATTTTGTACAGTCTAATTTATAATTAAATTTAAATATTTTTTTATTCTTTAAAGGTATTATTATTATTATTATTATTAAAATCAAGGTCTTAAATTTTTATTTAAAATTTTTTTTTTTTTTATTGTATGGGGAAGGGAAAGGGAAGGAGAAGGGGAATTGAAAGGTAACAAAATGTAATGGGCATGGTGGCCCGCCAAACTCAAGACGAGTTGTGTTCGACCTCCCTTTTTACGCATATGCTATGACCATGTCCAGAAGGTCCAATTTACATGAACTCATTTTACGCCTCTAAATATAAATATATAAAGATTTACTCTCGACATACCAAGAAAGCATGATATCACATTTTGAAATTTGTAAACATTTTCAAGGTAGCGTGGTAAACAATATGGACCGAAACAAACATACTCTTGGTGACAACAATTTACTTTTCCCTAAACGTCCTTCCCTTCAAGTGTCCATGTGCTTTTCTTACTTAGACAAAATTCTACTATATAATTTTACATATACTAAGATATACCTATATATTTACATATCTATTGTCAAAAAACACAAACCCTAGAGAGAGAAAAGGAGAGAGAGTGTGTGTGTGAGTGAGAGAGAGAGAGAGAGAGAGGATCATAATTTTATATATAGTAAAGGTGATCAAGAATAGGTGGACCTTGAAAGTTGAAGCCTTTGAGGGGTGTTGGAGAAGGGAAGAATATTCTAAGTCACCAAAGTTTAACAACTAAACTCCAAAGATTATATTCTAAAAAACCCAGAAAGCAAAAACATCATTAGATTATGATTAAGGGTTTGAAGTAAAGTCAGCCCATATGGAGACGACTGCTACGCACTTCTAAACATTCACAGCCTTTGTCAGTTGCCAATATAATATTAATCAGTTTCTAGGTAATTAATCTTGTTTAAATTCATTATTATTATTATTTTTTACTTATTTTAAGTCTTCAAGTTTGAGGTTCACTATACGAGGGTTAATGTAAAAATACAAGATCCTGCATCCTTTGCTACTTTATAATTACAAATTTAGTTAGGTGAATTGGTTCTTTTCTATTTTTAATTTCTTCTGCGTTTCGTAATATTCGAGTAAATGATTTGATTTTTTTCCTTAAGAAAACTTCCCGCATGTATTTTGTTTGTAGAAATACGATAGAAAGCTCTTATATATATTTCATATTGATGATTTCAGAACATTCCAAATGGACACATCGAGTTATTTATGGTAATACAAATTAGACAGCATTTTGAAACAATTAATAATAAAACCTAGTTTACTTTATTAAAGGGTTGCTTAATTTGTAGAGGCACATGAGATGTTGTGTTTAAAAGTCTACCTTTAGTTCTTACTCTAAAAAATTCCTTTACATTTTATTTCCTTTTATTATGAATAAATACTCCATCTTTGTGGTCATTTGATTGAAATAAAAATAAAATTGCATTTGATAATGTTTCACACTGCTAAAAAAGGAAAGTAAAGAATGAAGAAAAGTAATTACATTTCCATAAAAAACCCGATCGTTCAAAATTGCTCGAGCAAAAGGATGAAGCAATTATTTCTAATCTTTTCAATTAAACTTTATGCCTACACACTTTCTTTTCCATGTTACTTTTATTTGCGAAAGTTTAAAATGGACATTACTTTAAATTCAACGATAGCGAAATAAAAGTTTATATATAAGATAAGGAGTCACATCTCACACTACAATTTAATGGATGCAGCATTAGGTCTAAGAGGATGTATATGCAATTATAAAAGTCAGAGCTTGAATTCCAACACATTTCTTTAAAGAAAAGACTAGCTTTAATGACTTTACAAAAAACAATAAAGTGGTGATCCAATCATCTAACATTCAATGAGAACGAATCATCTAACAATCAAATTGTAGAGAAGAGTCTAGTATTTATAGGGAACGTGTAGGGGACATCCAAATCCTCTTAGTAGAGTTGTTGATGAAGTTGGATACTAAAAAATTGAGTCCAAAGCAAACTCCAACTCCTAATGGGCTTCCAAAATAGAACTTCAACTTGACATAGGACACCAATAATA